CAGACCCGGTTCCCCCGCGCGCTCTCTCGCTCTCTCTCCCGCCCCGCGCTCTGCGTAACCCGAACGCGGTTCCCACGGCAACGGGCAACGCTGACTGGTCTGTGCGGAAGAGGAGAGAGAGAGAGAGAGAAGCGCAGATTGATTTCTTGTCGCAGCTCGGCCTCTGACGTGCCCCCTCCCTCGACAAAAAATCATAATAAGGGTAGGTAATGACCTTTTTAAAATGCAAGGAAATGTCGAGCTAAAATACGGGCGACCGCTGGTGCTTAGGTCTCCAAGCACCGGCTCATGACCAGCGGGATGTAGGACTTAATTTAATATTTAAAGTTTTGGGGGCAGCCATCAGTTGGCGGACGCGGAGAGGTGAGGACAAATGACTCACTTTCCTTCACCCGGCTAGTCTCTGGATTACTAATATTTTTCACACGCGTGGCTAATGGCAATGACAGTGCGTGACCTCCTCGTTGTAGGAAAAACCGTGCATCTTCCTGAGGGGTAGGTGCGCTGTTTTATAAAGCATCTAGACAAAACAAGAGATTCGCAACCCCTGTATGATATGACGGTAGGAAATAGATCAAATACAAAATAATTCTATGTAGTAAACAGATAAATATGAAAAGAATGGAAGAGCCGGTATACACACTCCCTACTACGATGTTAATTGTGACCTCCTTATTATCAAATACTCCGATTCTCTTCAGTTTGAATCGGAGATTACAATCGTGCTCCGCAAAGGGCGCATGCATTCCAGATTTCACGACACGTTTACAATGTCTGGTACCGTTTTCTCTGCATTCCCAACACACAGCTTGTGGAGATATAGAGGCTGCACACGTCACACTACCCTTACCAGCCCCAGATCCCAAATTCGTTCTGTCATATTGAGGTTGGGTCATATTGAGGTTGTGTGTGTGTTTGTTTTTACAGCGATAATAGAAACAGCCTCACATCTCCCCTAGCCACATTTCCCTGCTAGGATTACACAGACTTCCAATCTAAAAACAGTGTGGCCCTTTGACACGAGCCCAGTTTTTCTCAAAATAGCTGGGAGCCAGTGGTCCGTGCAGGCCTGGGCCTCTGTAAGCCCATCCCCCCAAAAAACATTTTAATGACCTGATGGGTTTTTGTCAGGTTTTACAAAAACCTGTTTTATTGAAAGTCGTGGGTTCATCCGTATTTAATCCGGACCTCTAAAGTGTGAGGATCCGTGGTGCCGTTAATGATTTCCTGCACAACAGGAGCAGAATGAGGCAGGATAATCAGAAACCCTTCAGGTCGTCATTCAGCCCCTTCATTATTTCCTTTGCCCGTCACGTGACTGCAGCAGGCAGAATGTGTTCAGAGGTGCTGGCTGGGCTTTCTGAGCACCGATGCCCTGTCTTGTTGTATTGTGGTCATGTTTTCAGCATTTCATGCTAAATCTCTTCACAGCAAAACAATCCTTCTGGTTTTGTGTTGAAAATAAAGCTTTCGTTTCCGCACGTGCCGGTGGACACAACTGGAAATCGTGTGGAAGTACAGTACATCTAAAACTGAGAGCAAGTGGCGCCTTTTCATGCAGAAGGTTGTGAGAGCGTGGAACAAACCACCCAGCCATGTTGCTGAAGCTGATGCCATGTCTTGTTTGACAACTTGTTTGTTCCCCTACCATCTGGCAGAAGGTTCCGGTCACTCCAGTCGCACACAACTAGACTCCAAAATAGCTTCTTCCCCAGAGCTGTCAAGTTGGTGACGCCCCCACTCCCTCCCACCATACTATGATCTCTCCTAACGTCCTCCTGTACCCACAACGACTGTACTCCTACACCACCACACACACATGTAAGCCGAAATTGTACTGTCCCCTCGATAGCCCAGTAAAACTGTACCAGTCATAATAATATTTAATATTTATTAATTAACCATACTATTTTTAACCATACTATTTTTGCACTGTGCCAAGAATTACCTTGCATTGTTTTTGTCCTGTTATATTTTCTCTGTTTGCGGAATTTTGGACAGTTTTGATTACTTGAAACATGTTATTTATGTTATGTTATTACATGTTACTCTTATTGCTATTGTGTTACTGTCTATTGTCTTATCTTCTGTCCTATTTATATACTGCACCTGAGTGACTAATGAGAAACACTTTTCATTATACTATGCACCTGTGTAAGTTTAATGACAATAAAGCTGAACTGAATGTCTTCCTTCAGGAAGCAGCTGGATGAGATCCTTGCATCAGTGAACTCCTAACTCCCAAACCAGCCAGATGGGTCAAATGGCTTCCTGTCATTTGTAACCATTCTTGTATTCTTATGCTATAGACCAAAAGGATTACTTTAAGTTGACAGTGCAAAATTAATTGTATCTCATTATACAATCACTTGTGAAAGGTGTAGTACATGTGAAACATGCAGGGTAAGGATATTTTGTTAACCAGGCCATTTAGTATCCAATAAATGTGTTTTGCAATTTTAATGGATTATACAGTGTTTGTGTTTGTTTTTTAGAAGGAGGGAGACAGCTTATTTTTTAAGAAGACATGGAGAGACACACACCAGTTTACCCCTTACCACTGGAAATTCAACAGGTAAATTATTAATTAAAATTGTGTTCTATGATCTCCTACTTCTCTGTGACCCTTCAGAATCCAAATATTCTGTACACGAAGAAACCTGTGACACCCAGCCTGGTTTCCAGCCATAAAACTAGCTTTAATACAGGCCATTAGTAGCTGAAAATACAGAGTAAATATTCTCTTGTTTACTGAGCCTTACCTCCTCCTCCCCCCAAAATATAGTGGGATTGACCACTTTCCTATTGTGTTTGTGTTTGTGTTTGCGCCGCTTGTGCCTGTTCCTGTTTCTTATTTCGGTCTCCTTATATTACCATCACTCTGTAGATCTCACTGTCTCTTCTATCGAGCTACATTATTGAAATATCAGCGAGTCAGCATTAAATAAAAACCTCCACTCTTGATAGGACATACTTCAGCCACAGAGGCAAAAGTCTGAACATTATGCTCAGTCACAAACAGCACACAAAAGCAGGTTTTCTGAACAGCAGTCCTGTAGTAGGGAGATACAGAGATACACAGTCTCTGTGTTCCAACTAAGTGAGCTTATATATTATTCTGCTGCCCAGCTCCTAGATAGCTGAATTCCTTCAGCTTTAATGCACTCCTAGAATAGTGACAGAGTAGAGACCTGGAAAAATATTAATTGGTAAACATATATAAAAATAATGGGTCTAATGAAGTCATCCACAGTTCATATTTAACTAAATTCAAAAGACAGTGTAGCTCTTCAGGCCCAGGGCTAAATACCCTTTGTTCCAGTTATTGAAAAAATAAATATTTTCTTGGACCACTGCAAATCTACAATATTAGGAATTAAGGGGATGTGATTTGAGATTGGTTTTAGTATAATAACAAAATGCTACCCTTCTTCCTCTCACAGCATTGCTGATGGCTTTAAGGAGAACCCGTGGTTGCTTATAATTTATATTTTATAAGAACGTGGGTTGATATCTCTTGATCCCTAGCAGGAATTAAGCACTAATCTGACTGAGCACTGTGGACAAAGCAGTTGAGTGGAGATCTCGTTTCCTTTCCACACAGCTATGTAAATAATGGATTATGAAAACCAAATGGAGCACAATTTGCCTTATGAGACCAGTGGAATAATGGCGATGCACGAGTTTGTAACCTTTGCTATAAGATTTTTAGTCCTTAACCCTTAGCAGGCACCTAGCTCACTGTCAGTCTGCAGGGATTCTACACTCAGCTATAGATCCAACAAATTAAAATGGAGTAAAGCTTTTAATTTTGTCATTAAAATAGCCATATTCACCATGCTAAACAGATGAGTAGCTTAAAACAGAATGCCTGTATGCCTGTTACATTAAATTAAGCTGTTTCATGTTGGGGTGCTCTAGCAGACAATGTCCAAAGTGGAATGAAAGGTCACTGAAGAGGTCTTTTTACCAATATAAAATAGGAAATAATCGGAAAGGAGATTCAGCTGGCCATTGTGTTACCCCCCATCGCTAAATCCGTGAAGCAGTAAGAAGTTTTCTAACATGTGACACGCAGAGCCAAGAGCCCCAGATGAGCGTAATCACAGCATTTGGCTTATGGTTTGCTGAGCACAACAGGGGGTCCTTATCTCTTTAAAAATCTAGAGCGCTCCAGTCACGAATTCCACACGCGAAAAATTAATTTAGGAGACCGCAGATCTTTTCCCTTTGAATTGCGACTGAAATATTTTTCGTGCTTGGCCACGCTTCAGTTATGCTTTACCAGCAGTAATGCTGGCCATCTGAGTGTACAAGCGAGCAGGCAGTTGTATGGCAAGAGCAGGGAAGTGGCTTTCGCTTTAAATTCAGATAATTGAACTATAGAGACTGTTTTGGAAAATAGCTGATAAATGCTTCTGGCGGCTCAAACACCTCTGCAGTATTTGAAGAGCTGCTCCTTGAAATCTTTAACTGGGTTTGAATAAGGATGGGGGATAGGGAGAGGCATGTGTGTGATTATACAGTAGCAGTGACCCCTTCTGACACTGTATTTAAAGTGTTATAGGTTCAGTACATGTGGCTGTGCTAGGTGCTTATGATGTTAACTCTGGAATACGTGCTGATTCTTAAATGTGAGTGTGAAAATACAACATATATTCTCTAGCCATGTCTTTGTTGTTTTTTCCTCTTTTATAAAAGCAACTTTAAACGTCGAAGTCTCCTCAAGTCTTGTGTCAGCCATATTTGGTGATTTAGATGGCAAAGACTCTGTGCTTAGGAGTTATGTAACAATCTCAAAATACACCCTTTTAGAAATTCAGCCTTTCAAAGATCAATTTAATTGCAAGTATATCAACAAAAGAATGGCATCCCTTCATTTTCACATATTAAACTTACTTCTTCCGGAAAGAGCGAAGGGATTAGAAGAGAGCAAAATACTTATTGGCTGGTAGCTGGAGGTTGCTAAAGGTTTATCCTACTGTTTAAAAAATAATTCCTGTTAATAGTTATGAATACCATATTTATTCACATTTGGTCCTTAGTATTTCTTATAGCTAGTTTATGTGTTATGTTTATCATTTCCATAGTGTCTAGCAGGGTTATGCAGCATTTTTATACATTTTAGAAATCATATGAGCAGACGTTTAAAACCGGGAAAAAAACAGAAGGCTAAGGCATGACAAGGTAAGTGCACTATGTGTATCTTAGGTACTTTTTCTCAAAATTTTCTTGTTTGAACGTTCGGAGTTTTGTTCTAGTTGTGGAGATCCTTGCTCAGCATGTCAGCAGGCAGTTGCAGACTCAGGTTAAATGTCCCCTTGAACTTTCCCCTCAAGCGCTCCCTGAACTTGAAGTGTTTCACAAATGACGTGGAAATCGTTATTGTTGTCAAGGGGAACCGTGTTCATATTTAATCCCTAAGGTGCTTGGTATCGGAGTGGATTCATGCAACCAGGAGCAGGTTCTTGTCCGCACACAGTAGAGGGTCACACTTGACTATGGAGGGCCGGGCCGTTCCCCGGGGGTGAGGTGCGAGTGGAGGAGAGATGCACAGTGATTTCACATCCTCCCCTGGAACCACTCGCTTCACTGGTGACTGGCAGGCTCAAGCAGGAGCTAGTGGTAAAGGAGCCCGAGGTCATCCCAGGCCGCCTTCCTTTCTCATCTACCTGGAAGACAGACCTCCTTTGTTTCATGTAAGAGTATCATTATCGTTAAATGCTTCACATTGGCTTACCTAAATATTTGTGGCGATTGTTTTCGTGCACTTGAAAATTTACCCTCGGTACTCCAGCACATCTGTTAGTTCAACGTGGCTTCACTCTCTCGTTAGGAAAAAAATCTGAAAAATCACTTATTTCAGTGAATGAATCGGAAGGTTAAAAGGCTGGGAGAATTCCCACTCCCTCCTTCAGTTATGCAGCTCGGAACATCTGTTGACTCTTTACAGCTATGAAGGGAAATTACAAACATTACCTGCGTTTCCAGTGACTAAATAATACATATTTGCAGCTGCACTTAAACTTAACCACCTTTCGGAATCCCCTTTCCTTCTCGACGCTGGTTGAACTTGGTTGGGTTACCTTTCCCTCGTTTTGAAAGTGTAAACGCAAATGCAAGGAGAAGTAATACAGTCGACTCTGACTGCAATTGTTGTTGAAAAAAGAAAGTTTGGTTCTAAATGTGTTGAGCTCTTTCTTTTTCTTCTTTTTGTTTGTGACAGCCTAACATGGTAGGAGGATATAATGATTAAGAGCTAAATTAAAACCATTACACATAAGATTTGAAATGTTGGAATCCCTGAAATAATTTTGCCAGTTCCTCCCACACACAAAGGAAGGAGAGTGCCGTGGTTGTTAAAGTGTTGTTAAAGGCATAGTGGTTCAAAACAGTCCTCAGATCTGACTGTGCATTTCACGTTACAGCGTTAGAACTATTTTTACCATGACTGGAAAGACATGCCTTTTACCTGTTCATAAAGATCATCGCTGCTGCAAAGGTGTGACAAGGTGGAGTAATAGGTGTGAGCTCTGGACTCCTGACAGGAGGGTCTCGGGCTCAAATCCCTGGCTGGTACACAGCTGCTGCATGCCTGACCCAGATTGCTCCTGCCAGCCCAGCTGCGTCGATGGGTTAGCAAGACTCGTGTGGACTGATAGAATGAGTGATCGTTATCTCTGCAAGTCGCTCTGAATGAAAGCATCAGCCAAGACAACCACAAAAATGTTTCATCTGTGGGAGAACAAAAATAGACTCTAAAAAATGCAGACTTCTACATCTTCCACATTTTATTTTAAATGTACCAGGTTTCAAAGCTCAGCCAATAAAGGCATGTGTTTGGCATGAATTTCATTAGCTGACTGCGACCTGGTTCACTTGCTGAAGGGTCTGAGGGACTCCTAGTGTGAAACATGGCAAATGGCTCTGTTTCTGAACAGAAACAGCCTCTCACCCTGTTTTATGAATACGAGTCAGGTTGATTAACATGCTGGTCCAAAATGTTAGGATTTCAAGACAGGCAGGTCTGGATTTTTAGCTTTTGGTAGTGTGGAGTTTACCGAGTTGTAGAGAGGAAACGTTGTGATGGCCTAATTTACTTAGTGGACCAAAAAAGTTTTGAATTGCAATATTAATATGCAGTGCTTGGCATTCATCTCACTAAAAGCTTGCTCTGTTCCATTTGTTGGCACCCTGTCCCCTGGGTCCCATTCATTTCTGTTTCATTTCCGGATTGATTTTTAGATGGATCATAACGAGACCGTCTGTAAGTACTGCGGCGTCAGCTACCTGATCCATCACGAGTTCCAGCTGATGGAGGAAAAAGTGAAAGCGATGGAGGCGGAGCTGGAATTCTACCGGGGCAGCGTGGAGCGGGAGAAGAGGCTGCAGCAGGAGCTGCAGGGGGCGGGCGCTCACCTGGAGCGGCTGAAGACCGAGCAGCAGCAGCAGTCTGAGAGGTTGGGATGTGCCCCTGCTCGGCACAGAGCCAGTTAACAGACGTAGCCTGCGTCCGGGGAGCGTTCCCTCCTTTTTCTTTTCCGCGGACAGGTTGCACCGCACAGGGTCACCTGAGCTGTCTCTGCATTTCCCGAGCCTTGAATATGGCTGGCAGGACTTTCATCTCAGGGTTAGTTGTTTTCAGGTGTGATGTTTCAGTTTCTTAAATTAAAAAACAAATCTAGAGTGCAGCCTCGGGGCGTGTCTTAACTTTTCAGGTTTTTTTTCCCTCTTGTCAGCTCCCATAGCACCATTAGCTTATACGAACTGTAGTGAACTTGCTAACGGAGAAGCAGCGCACATAAGGGATGCGCCACTTACCAAATGTTCCTTTTTCAGTTTGTGCTAAAAACTGCTGTAGATGACAGAAATGATGAGAAATATGTTATATAATACATGATGAACATTAAAAGAAGCTCACAATTGTATGCATTCTTCGTAGAAACTAAAAATATACAGATATAATCAGTATTTCGATATAATGAGTTTCGTGTCATTTTGTATAAAAGATGTTTCATGACAGACTGTGATATATTCAAGTGATATGGTTACATAATCCTTAAATTGCCTTCTAAGTGAGAGAGTTGATTGGGCACAGATGATGGGGTGACTCAACCTGTTAATTAGCGAGGTGATTGAAAATGAAGGATAGAAACAATGAACGGTCCGATGCCCCGTTTATCACACCACTTTAATGCTTTTTGTATGTTGGAGGCTGGACACAGACAGCTGTTTGTAACCTGAAGAGGTTCGACAGCAAATGCGGGCTGTAAATGATAGATCACAGTCTGGGAGACTACTGAGTCACAACACTTTCCAAGATCTGTGGGGAAGTCCAAGTGGGGTGGTGTGTGCAGGAGTCACTTGTCTCTAAAGAGCTCTACTTGTCAGCCCATCTGCACGATTCGAGTCCTGGGACATGAGGCGATAACATTCCAGGACGACAAAGCACATTCTCAAGCTGCCTGTATAACAGTGGCCTCTGTTGCAAGACTATGACATTTATGTTGCTGATGCCCTGCTCTTCTCCCAACTTGACTACTTGTTGAATATGTAGAGTGAGCTGGGAAGACAGGTGGCATTTAGTGATCGGAGCCTGTTGAATAGGCATGTGCATGCCCAGCTTTTATGAGAGGAGTGGGACAGAAGTAATCAGAAGGAGAGTACCACCTGTAATCTGGTACAAAGCAGGTGGCAGCCACAAAGCTTACTGGCCTGTGACTTTTACTGGAGACACCAGCATGTGGTTACGTTGATGACAAGTGTTAATCAGAAAAATGCATTTACTGATTTCATGTCTGCTCAATAAAATGTCAGTGATCCTGCTGCAAAAATGACTGATATCTTTGTGAAATTGTCAATGTTATAAGTGGTTTCTTTTGATTTTCAGAATATAAATATTCTGTTGCTTAGTTATTTAGTTTAAGCAAGCTTAGTTGCTTAGAATATTTTCACTAGCTAGCATTTAGAATTCTGTTAGAACAGAATAGTTCGCATCTACAGTAGATGTGAACTATTCTGTATTGTGCTTCTTTTTAGTGTACAACATTGAAAAAAGAAATATAAAGCTAAGGGATTAGACAACCACTTAAAAAAAACATCTGCATGAAAATGAGCATCTCCAGGGACAGGAGTCGTGCCTGGAAAAAAAAGTCTTCCGTTCCTTTTCCGTTGTGGGAAACTCTTTGGTATCTGTTGTTCTCAATCCTTTGTTCTGGCAGACAGGGAGCTGTGAATGCGTTTTTTTCCAATAATCCTCTGCACCCACACATCAAGTCACATGACTGAGTGCTCCAAGGGATTTTGTAAACATAAGCTCTCAACACTAAGCATGAACCTTTTTGGAGAGTGAAGCATAGTATGCCTAAAATTATCACGTACGCAAGCAAGCAGACAATTTCATTTGTGCAGGCAAATTTAAACAGATTATGTTGAAAATATCTTTGGTTTCTCCACATTGTGTAGGCTTGTTAAATAAAAAGTGTTACCAAAAATAATTGTAGAGCAGTGGTGTTAAGATCGTTAGAAGTTTAATTTTATTCTTCTGCTTAATGAGGACAATCTGTCTCTTGAAAAGTATTTACAGTTTTATCAATCTGTGCCACTGTTTGTTCGAAGACTAGGGTTTTGATTGTAGCATACCATTGCTACTGAATTAACTTAAAAGGACAGTTTCTAACTCTAGGTGTTAATATAATGCATAGGTAAGGCCTGTATATTTATTGGAACACTGCATTATATATTATAAAGCATGTTATGTCATATCAGACTATAGCTTTTTGTTTCAGTCAAAATTAACTGCAGTGCAGTGAAACTATTGTTGATGTAAAAAAATGCTTTAAATTTGGCATCAGTGGCCCCTAAATCCACTGAATCAAAATAATGCTATTCACTTGCACAGTATCAACTTTTTTGTAGCTGCACATGCTTAACCATCCCACCAAGTGGGATTCATCAAAAAATGAAACCTGCTGCAACTATATATATATATCTCAAATAGCACCCTTTTCAAATTATGAAGGGAACTGTCACCTGTAAAGATCAAACTTCCACCATGCACTCAGTGACAATGAGCCATGACATTATCATTCATGTCTCTAAATCTAATTCCAAAGTATAATTTGGAATTTACTGCATTCCCTCTATATTATTATATGTTTGCAGGATAAAGGAGTTCATGAAAGACCAAATGCGAAACACATGGAACATGATAGGTTTCAAGTTGCTCCTTTTTTCAAGTCAGAAACTAGCACGCAATAAAAAATAATTACAGTATTAGAAACAACAAAATTCTTAAAACCAATGTAAGTACAAAATGTCTTATTTAATCCCCTGTATTCAGAATAAAAATAAAGTCCTTTAAAAGGGGCTTACGCAAACAGTGTTTCAACAGGATTTACATCGGCTTTGGCCATGCTTTGCAAGTTTCAAATTAATTACGGCTGAGAAAAGAAACCAAATAAGGTTCTTGGTGGTGTTGGCATCTCAAGATAAGATCTTTAGATTTTTCATCTGTAGGTTTCAGCTTTCAGTGACAATCATAGGAGAGTTAAAGCAACAGGAAGCTGATGAGAAGATGCTGTGGTGGTTTTTTTATGTCCCCTATCTGTTCACACAAACTGGTGGGAAAGTCTTTCTCAGCTGCAGCGCTGCTGCTGTAGTTGCCATCTAAGTGAAAAAATGAACACAGATCAAAGAGGATGCTTTCAAGTAGAAAGGAAACGATGTGTTGTCAGATTTCAATACACGCCAGCCGTGCAGCTGCAGAAATTTTAGGAAGTGGGAGATGCACAGTGTCTCAGTTTTATCTGAGCCACAAGGGTTGTCTTGGTTCTGCATAGGAATATTTATATTTAAATAGTACTTGTGACTGTGATGATGAGCATTGACTCATTAGAGCTTTTACCATTCTGAAGCTTTACCACTGTAAATCTACCTTGCGAATGTCATCTTCTAGGTTTCCATGTTTATATCATGCATTCGCCATTCTTTTCCAAGTTTTAAATCTGATTTTCATGTGCCTTAAGGCACTTTCCACTTCTTTAACTGTGCTGTGTCTTAGCAAACTTCCATATGTGTAAGAAGCTTCTCTACAAGGCAGTTGTGCCACTGTGATCTTGTTTTCAAATCTTTTGCAGCTTTCAGTACTGAATTCATACCAGATTAGGCTGTGGTGTGGTATTCTCGGTTTTAATTTTCTAGTTGCATTTCCACTCCATAAAATAAAGAAACGTGTCGCCTTATCAAAAAGACATGTACAGGATGACATCTGTGGGGGAGCTTGCAAATATGTTGTGTTGCAGAGTTTAAATTACACTGTCTTCATGCATCTGTCATTAAACCTGCTTGTAAAAGTCTGGCTTTGTAAAGAACAATGACACCAGCCCTTTCTACCCAATGAAAAAAGAGTTGGTTGGATATTTAGTGGACCAGCTCTAGAGGAACAGGCTTTCACTGTGCTCCCTTTCCTAGACTTCCCTAGCTCTAATGAATTTAAGATGATAGGGATGTTGATAGATCTCAGAGTTACAAGCTATGTTAAGACTCGGCCTGGTCACCACTGGGATGGGAGACCTATAAGGACTTTGCTGCTGTAGATGGTGTCAGTGGACGAATAAGTGGTAGTCTTCCCTCTGGGTAAGAAACCAGTCCACCATTGTGGTGACTGGGGATACTGTGCTATAGGAAATTCTATCCTTCTGATATCCCACGGCACTGCTTATAAGACTAGAGGTGCTATGGATCTGTCTTACAGGGCTGCTGGCACATAATGGTTGCCATGCTACCCAGTAGGACCACACTTCAGTGGTGGAGGATGTGGACTCACTTCTATACAGTATGTCAAGTCCTTTGGGATGGTAAGCACTTTATAAGAGCAACTAGTTATTAGTATTTTAAAAAATCTCATGCCCCATGACTGCATTACCTTAACTGCATAGTAAATGAAGGAAAGGCCTTCTTGAACTACAATTACTTGAATAGTATTCTTTCTATTCACATAGGTTTTCAACATCTTTTTAAATTTGTTTCTGCAGTGAGCCATATGTCACATGGTGAGAGTGCACTTTTTCTCACATTCTAAAGCAAGGGAGTTGCTGCACATGGTTTTTCACATCATGATGTTATGGATTGGCAGTCGTTCAGCTGGAATTGCTGTGCTGGGGTGTTGTTTTTTGTTTTGTTATTTTATGTCTTAATTGTTCCTGGCTTGAAGCTTGCTCATTATTGCTCTTAATGTAGACCAAAAACAGCAGTGTCACTGATTATTTTCCAACATGCTAGCTGATGGAAAATGAAGAAAGACCTGCATTCCGGATGGTGTTGTTGATGCGTTATAAGAACAGTCTCAGCCAGTGATTTGGATTCCAGGTTTTGTCTGATTTGCGCCTCTGTCTGTGAAGTCATTTGCATATTAACTAACGGAAATCTCATTTTGTGAACATGTAAGAACATAAGAAAG